GAGGTGGTGTCGGGGGCGGCGGCGACGGCGGCGGCGCTAAGAGAAGAATGAAGCGCGCCCCCCCACCCCCGCGAAACGGATTGCTTTGTGCGGAGGGAGGAGCGACTGAGGCGTCTTCTCCCATCCGTACGTGCGTGCTGCTCTCTTTTCTCTTGTACTTTTACTCTTTTATTTACGCGTATTTTCTCTTTCTTATACATAGCTACACTGCGATTTTCTGTACGATTTTCTATACATAGCTATACTGCGACCGCTAGAATTATCCACCAAACTGGCAGAATGTGATCTATAATGTGATATATGCAACTCTGCCTCTGGCAAGTATCAGCAGTTGACAGTTTCATTGAATCGGGAGCTTGAACGTCGCCATAGTGACGTCACTATCCATTCCCATTCTTCTAAATTAATTTTACTGATACATTGAGATATATGGACAAAAACAAAACGACTAGTACATACTTTAAATCATTTTTTAAAAAGTTTCTCGAAAAGTGAATCATCTTTGTGTCGGACATTTCCCTCCACGGACGTCTCCATCCACCAGGCATTGCCGTTGATATGCAAAAAATATATATTAATATAACTTTTAGACCTTAATACTTATTAAATAAAAATGCATCAGTACACCTTTCTTTCTCAATTTCGTTCTCATTACTTGGAATATTTTTCTTTATTTCATTGTTTCCAGTTCTTTTATATTTCTCTTTGCAGATAAGGTCTCGTCACGCTATTCAGTCTCATGACAGGGTGGAGATCTGTGCCTTGAGATGAGAGCTTGCGTCCTAGAACCATTTTTTAGGATCTCGATCTTGTGGACTCCACTTTCTTCTTAGGGTTTGTAGCTACCTCCTTTGTGGTCACGCGACCTAGGACCCCATCGTGTTGCCTCGCGGCGATGCGTTAGGGAGTTATCTCGCTTGAGAACCAACAAAAGAACTCTGCGTCGGAGGTTTTTGTAGAGCAATTCTTTTCTGGTGGTCTGTAATACAAATAACTAATTGCTAGTTGGGGGTTTTCACAGAAAGCTTTAGTCACGTTTGTAAGACAGTGCGGCTGTACGTGATCCACATGACATGAAGAAGAGAGATATTCATTTCAGAAAATCAGAATGAATTCAACGATTAGTGAGTCTGAAACACTGACAACGTAGAATTAACAATTGACGTACCCGTGTAAGAGTAGAGGCAAAAGTGTGTGAATTCTAAATGTTAAAAAAAAACAAGACTATATATCGTTGTGCTTAGATTGCGAAAAATAAAAAAAAATACTCGAGAGAACATCATATTTGAAATAAACAATAAATTTTTGTAGCCATTTCAGTGTTAATTTGAAACAAACGACTTACACTGATCGAACATCTATAAACTCTCCTTGGGAACCTAAACACTAGCTCATAGAAATGAGATTTTAAATGACCTACAACCCACATCTTCGTAGGGTATCATAAGCAATATCTTCAACAAATTTCTTCAAGCATCTGAGAGTATGCATGTGCTCCGTAAACATTTTTAAGTTCCGCCTCGGGGAAGAGCAAGCAAGCGAGTGTAATGGAGACCTCGCCCTGCCTTAATTCCACCCACTCCGCCGCGAGCAGCTTGCTCGCCTGTTCACTAAACTCTTTCGCTAGGCCAATCGCCCGTTCGCTCATTTGCCCGTTTCTTCGCTGCTTTCGACGGCTGCAGCGCCAGTCAGTCCCTCGCGTGCAGGATCGCCCGCTACTCATTTGCCCGTCCGCTTTCGATTGATTGTTTGATTAGTGACTCTGGGCGCGTCAACTGCAAAGGTCATTATTCACGTAAGCATAGTGCATGCATTTTGTTTGTGAGGTGGAGGCGATCTTCCCCGATGGATGGTGAGATCCGGCGACGACCTACAGACGGCTAGAGAGATTTTCTCCAACCACAAAACTTTCACCATCGGGGCACGACCCCAGGCGGGACAAACTCTAGATTCCCGACCGATCTCGCACCATGTGTGGTAGTGTAGTGCATGGGAGTGTAAGTGTGTGAAAGGGGTGAGGATGGGACCAGAAAAAGACCCGGGGCCCGTTTGTTAGTTTACTGCTCTGATCTTTATTAGAGAAACTACGGAAAATTACCGATCAGAGCAGCCAGCCGCTAGAATTCTCCAGACAGCGACAGAACTCGACCTAGCTTCCTGGCTAGTCGCAAATCCTGCCACCATCGGAACTCAAATCCTAGGGCTTCCCGGTCAGAGGAACTCCA